TATGCACTCCTGGTGTTACTAATACTAGCATATGCTGGATCATCCTGTAGTGTTGGAGATCCAATAGTAAAACCAGCAGTTGGAGCATATGCTGGATTATCCTGCACCGTAATATTAGTATCATCTGTAGAAATAGTAAAGATTATTAAAGATGTGTAGAATTCATTTGGATTACTTTTAGATGATCTTTTCTTCACACAAACAATAATACATGCTATTATTAGTAGACATGTACATACAAGAATTATACAGACCACTGCCACTATAATTCCACCAACAACTAGAAATGATGCACTTAGTTCACTTGGTAGAGTGGTTGGTGTGATGAGTGGTGTTGCTAAATAAGGAAATGAATAATGATGATATTGTTTTGGTAGTTTGACAAATAAAGTAGTGAGAATTAATTAGTTTCATTATGTTTTGTATAGTAGGTAGGTATTTTGGTCTTGTGTAGGTAGACTCCACTCCTTTCTGACATTGGGCTACAAAATGTCAGAAAGTGGCAGAGTCTGACTACACAAGACTACTTTGACTCTCATTCATTGTTTCAGTAACAACCGATGGGGAGTATTTATATTTAACACACGATTTGACTTACTTGACAATTTATGTAAGAATGATGATGAGGAAGAGAGCATATGTGAAAACATGTTAGGAGAAAGGGAAGTCATAGACTGAAAATATCAACTGAAGTGGTTATAGAAACAAGATCCTACTTACTGAAGTAATTAAAATAGACATTTCTAAGCTTGATGTTATTGTAATAGTTGATTGGGTAGAAATATCTAAGAAAAGGAAAAATCAACACAAACTGTACAAGGAAATGATGTACCCGGTACATACTTATTTCCACAGTGACCAATGGAAAGTCATTGTTTACTGTACTAAGTGTTTCAGATATTGTTGATGGAGGAGAGTCTAGACTACCACTGATTCGTAAGTTAGTTGGTCCACTCTCTCTCTGTTCATATAGAACTAATCTCTCTCCACCAGTTCTATCACTATAAACACCAAATATGTCTCCTTCCTGGAACTGCAGTGGAGTCTGAGGAATAAACTCATAGAGATTAGTACCAATCATTGTATTAGCATTAACTAAACTAGATCCTGTTTTATTGTAATTATTGGTACCCAGTTGACGCCATATTTGGAGCTCAGATTGAATAGCAGTGTTTCCTTTATTGTCAGCTCCAAAGATCCATTTAGTAACTGATCCATTACATGAGAATACAATCCATGGATAAATGAACTGGTGTTGGCCATAGAAGCGTTGTGATCTTTGTATTTCAAGTGCTTTCTCTTTAATAAATGAAGCATTGATTGAATTGGCACTATTAACACA